GTGTGTGTGTGTGTGTGTGTGTGTGTGTGTGTGTGTGTGTGTGTGTGGGAGGACACTTAACTTGTAGAGCCACTCAGTTAGGAAGTCACAGGGGACAAATGCTGTTATTTTTCTCTGAAACAATAAAGATGAGTTGGAAATTGTAAACATCCAGCATTCAAAATCTTCCTTTGTGGAAATGGTGCAGATTTATCAACAACATATACATGAAAACATACTGTACTGTGTTTTGTTGTTATTAAATGAAATATAAAATATGAACTTCTGGGTATGCAAATGTAGAGCCACATATAGTTAAATGCAGATGGTGATTTCTGTAATGTTTGCAGTTTGTACATGATAATTTAATATTTGTTGGCTTGCTTTTGGTTAGGGTTATGCTTTTGGTTAGATGTGTATGTGAAGAAACGTGAACCTCAAAACAGCGATGTTTCCTGGCTTCTGTCAGCAAAGCTGCCAGGCCGGGCAACAACACAGGAAACAGTGTCTTCTGGAAGAAACACGTGACAGGACCTAACACAAACACAACTACGTACAATATGCAATTTATAATGACTGCTATTTTTTTGATGAAATGAATTAGTTTTACCTTCATAAATTTGTGTAGACTGTGTAGCTTCAGCTGCTGTAGGTTGTTTGACCGAGATGCCATCTGTCCACTTTTCACAGGGAGGACTTGGTTGTTCATATTCAAATTCTCCATAACAACCACAGTTTAGTCATTTAATTTTTTTTCAAGTAGAAACGTAAACGTACTTCTTTATTTTACCTTCACAAACTTGTTCCCAAAGTGATTTTTTAGCACCGATAATTTCTGCCATTGTTCTGCCTAGCCGTCGTCAAGGACTGTCGTTACCAAGGAAGTAGTCACTTAACTTCCGGTGTAAACAAAGTACGCGCCACTTGGATCTGCTCATTTTTCTGCTGTAACACTGGTCACCACTAGAGGGCAGAAGATAGCGTAACATTCATAGTGGTTGTTCACATTTTTAGTGTTTAGTATTTCTAGTTAGCTTCAGTAAATTTTTAGAAACAGACTAACTTCAGACCAAATTAATACTGACTGTACTAATGCAATTTTTTTTCTATTTGATTTAAACAGTTTACTTGTTTTTACGTTTAATTATAGAAGCTGCATTCTTATTTTGTCCATTTTAACATCTTTCAGATTTAAATTTACTGCTTTAGCTCAATTTAACGTTTATATAAATCACAGCATAAATGTACAAAACGTTGGGCATAGAAAGCATAAAATTTTAGAACACTTAGAATTAAAAAAAAAAAAAAAAAAAAGTCCTGATGCATGCTCAGAAATCCAGGTTTAACGGTTTAGTCAGGTCCTCTGGACAGAATCTTCTGATGAAACGTTCGTCTTTTATCCAAAATACTTAGTCGGAAAATTAAAAAAGGTTTTAAATATAACTGGGCAATGTTTATGTAATGCATATTAGCTGAAGATGTAAATTACCCATTAAAGGAATTTTTTTCCAACTAAATGTTTTAAAACTAATGCAACAAATTAGGGGAAACATAAGCCAACTAGAGTTTATATTATGGTTATGGTTAAGGGAAGATATACAGTAGTTCATGTTAGGTCAAAATAGTGGAATTTATTCACTTTATTGGAATATATTCCAAAGCAATTAAGTCATCTCATGACTGAACAAAAATAGCCATTTCTCTAAAAAAAAAAAAAAAATCTCCAAGAATATTCCGAAAATGCACTGAACAGCTTTGAACAAAATATACATTGCAGTAACTCAATCATAATTTGCAGCCACCAATTATCTTGTAAATAAATAAAACTGTGAACAAAACATTTATTTCACATAAATAACATTTTAGACCCACCCATAATTACAACAACGGTCCCATTTTAAAAAATACAATAAGACTCATGCCACAACGTTTTTGTCTAAGAAGTTGTTGCAGTGCATCCTCTGGTATTAACCCTCCAAAACAAAAAAATGAAGCAAACACAATGAGCAATGGTAAAACAATAGTAATATAATCATATTAATGACAAGATTCTTTCTTTTATAAAGCAACACTGATGAAAGTAGATATAATAAAGGACCAACTATTAACAATAAAATATACAAATTACATTCTTTCTGGGTTTCAGAGAGGAAAGCCTGTGTGAGGAGGACGTTTTTGGTAAACTAAAAAAAGAGAAAAAACAGCTAATAAAACACTTGTGTACAGGAGAAGTCAAATATTTTAGCTTCCATTATTAGGTGTGATCTGAGATCCTGCACGGGACTCAGTCAGGGAAGAATCACTCGTCTACATCCATGATGTATGTGAAAGTTTATTGTCCAGGAGTTGCAGCACTCTTCCTTGTGTCTGTTCATAATCAGACACACATTTCATCACTAACAAAGTGAAGGGATTCCCAGTGCTTGCATCACATCAAGCTCTGGTCAGTGGTTTAATAGGATTAAAGGAAACTTGCTTCCGTCTGATCAAACATTCAAAGCTTGTCCTTCGGCAGCATGTTCAGGCTCTAGAAAATAAATCTTACTAGGCTAGTGAACATAATTTGTCCATGGCTTTGCAAATATTTTGACAGCAACAAAATGAGTGACTCCTAGATGGCATTTCAGGCAAAGAGAAAGTGGTTTTGATCCTAAAAACGATAGTAAAAAAAAAAAATCAAAACAGACTGTGTGTGTGTGAAAAGATAGTTGAGATGAGTGTGTAACCTCAGTTTCAAGTGTTCACCTCCTGACGCAGTGAGGATAGGTTTGTTTGCTCAGGGGAAGCTGGACGTCCTTAGAACTGATTCAGTGCAATGATAAGGAAAATGTTTAGCTTTTCTGTTTCTATTCCTCTTCTTTCATACTCCAGAAACCAATTTTCAGATTCTTTCATCGTTGCAAACACGTTCATGATTCCATCTCAGCACGCTGCTTTAACCGTCCACGACTTCTGTCTTAATGGCTTTCGTTGGCAGGGTTCGCGTCGTCATGCCCTCTGAGTTTTAAAGAAGCTAGTGAGAACTATGTACAGAGTGTAATGCTGTTTATTAGAATGTAAGGAGGTTCATTCAGGACGCGGCTCTCCGTGGACTCTGACGCGGTAAAGGCAGGTGTATTCTGGATGACCCCAGTTAGACAGGACCCGTACCTCGATGATCTGGAAGGCCTTGTCGTTATTCTCCTGACAGATAAGAAAAGAACCATTACCAAACGCTGACCAACATTGATGTTTGTTTCTCTAACGGGTTAGAAAGTTCCTCTAAAGTTACCTTAACCGGGAAGATTTGCAGTGCCTCGCCATCCTCTTCATATGTGTAGTGCCCCAGCAGCTTTCCCTCTTCTTGGTACTCATCATCAAGACCCTGAAGATGGAAAACATCAGTGAATCGGTAGACATTGATGTTTAGATGTGATTAAAATGTGACTTTAATAGCTTGCGCCAGTATTTCTTACAAAAACAGTGAAGTTGCGTGGTGCGCTGGTGATGTTTCCAGTTGGAGAAAGAGCTTTGGGGATGTGCTCCACACAGAAGGATGTGGGCAGGATCCTCAGGGACAGCCTGATTACCAGATAACCTTGGGAGCCTTTAAACGCCCAGCAGTTACCAGGATACACATCAGGCTGATGGAGGAGAAGTGGAGGAAATTACTTTTGGAGCAGAGGTCAAGACTTGAACACTGATTGTATCTGTTACACAGCCATTATTGAACGAGCGAGTATCAGTCCTCGCTCTCCTCTCTAGTTATGCGATGGTGAGGCTCACCTGGATGACGACCCGTGGAGACTGGGAGAAGTACCAGAGGGGCAGACCAAACAGACTCATGAGGGCAGTCTTTGTCTCGAATGTTTCAGAGCAGCGGGTGCTAAGGATGCTGCCACCTAAAAACACACACACACATTATAAACAATACACAACAATACCTGATGGTTTCAAACCCACATTTAATGTTCAGTCAGACAATCAACGCTCAATGAGAGATGATCAGGAGGAGTCCGATTGTTTAATAAAATACTTAAAAGGAAATTAATGACATCCCATCAAAATATGTTGTAATGAAATATTTCCAGAATCCTAAATAAACCAGATTTAAAGTTCTTGTTTGATTTTCTTACTGCGTTGAAGTCAAAATTTTTAACAAAGAGTTCAGGTTCTCCCCTTCTTGCTTAAAAAATGAAAAATAAACAATATGAACTAAATATGTGGCATGGTTCAGTCTGAATTACCATGAAAGTATCTACGCAACAAAATAAGAACGTCTGGGTGAACGGGGCAGCTGTGAGAACCACAAACATGTCAGCAGACTGTCAGACGCCTGATGAGACAGGCTGAGGTTTTGCAGGTTGTCCTTGAACCTGTAAATGCCTTCATCCTTGTTGCGTAAGACAAACGTTACACAGCCATCTTGTTAATCCCTGTAAATCCCTGCAGGGTTAACTACAGGCCTGGATAAAGGTGCAGGATGAGCAAGTTTCCTTCTTACCTCCAGACTCCAGGGCGTAGTCCACCAGGCCAGTTCGGTCCTGAGAGTACAGCTTCAGAGCATTCTGGACCATCAGCTTCACATGCTGGGGTGTAGAACACAGAACAAGATTCAAAAGAACTCATTATTTGGTTAAGACATAAACCCTCAGTGAATAAGACGTTAAGTGGCATGTGTACCTCTTCAGTCAGTCCCTCTGCAGCAGAAGCATGACGAACAGTCCCAGTTACCGTCTGAACAATGTTTTTGGTTCGTGATTCGGCTTCGCCCAGCGTCTGGACTTGGTTGAGCTCCAACTGCAGCGAGATGTTTCTCAAGATGCTCAGCTCCAGTGAGGCCAGTGCCGCCTGCAGGTCAGATGTGCTCACGTAGCGTTGGGACAGCCAGTGGATCAGAGACTCAGGTACCTGACCCTGCTCCTCTCCTAATTCGCTGCCGCCGAAGAACAGAGCCTGTAGTTCTTTCCGTAACTGTGAGGACACTTGACCTGATATCTAGGGAAGGATAAGACGGAGCCATAGTTAATTTAAAAATAATACCAGAATAACTTGGTTCTGTATACACAAACAAAAAGTTGAGAAAAGGTTTGGGATCATTACCGTCTCCTGCAGTGTACTCAGCTGTTCACATTTGCCCTTGCAACCAAGAACGCCCTGGAGGTCTCCTCTGATTCTACTCAGCTCTGCTTCCAGTCTCTGCACCTCTACCAGCAAAGCATCATGGTCCTCCTGCTTCACACCCACACTAAGAAAAAACAAAAACTACACGTTAATAACAATAGCGTTCAGAAACCTACCCACAAAACAATACTGCCACCTCACACAAAACCAAGCATCTGTCTTCATATGGATATGAGGACGTAATAGTTTCTCTTTACCTGACAGGAGCTGTGTCTGCTGCAGGTGTGATGACCCCTTGTTCTCTTTTGTCCTTCTCACGTTCATACTGCTGCTGCTTCTGCTGCATCTCCTGAAACACAAACAGCAAAAACTTAAATTCTGTTTGTGTCATTTAGAAATCGACTTTGGACTGATAATAAAACTTGTCACAGTTCCTGTGTTTTCTGCAAACATGCATAAAATGCTTTTTGTCTCTCCTTAGTAAAAACACAGTGAATCAGCAGTACATACCTCAGTCTTGGCAGCCAAAGCCTTAAGCAGCAATTCTAAATCAGCCAGACGTGCTGCCTGAGTCTCTTGTTGCCGTTCCTGCTGCTCTGCACCCTGAAGACGCAGAATGATGTTAGATCTTCAAAGCAAGATGTCCTTTAGTTAGCCATCAAACTGTCAGGATCAATGTTTATGAACCTCCACGTACCTGTGCTGTGTGCGTCTTCTCCTGCTCCAGCTCTCCACGCAGCAAGCCGAGTCGCTGCTCCAGCAGAGAGGACGCCCACACCTCCAAGCTCTCCCTTTCGGTCCGAGTGTGCAGCTGCTCTCTCAGGGTGCTGTACAGACCCAAAATGTCCTGGTGGCGCTGATCCTGCGTCTGGTCTCCCTGCTGGACTCGCTCCCACAGCAGCGCTAGCTGGCGCTCGACTCGTTCAAGACGCTCCAAGTCTGCACCAGAGATGGCCACAGGGGGAAAGATTGGCTGAGAAGTAACGGGCGGGAAAGATGGGAAAAGGTCAGAGTCGGACTCACATTTCTCTTCATTAAACTGAAGAACAGAGATCGTGTCATGAGTTTTCTCTGTTAGTGATACTTACTGTTGCACGTGAGGCTGGGGTGGATGGAGTCTTCTTCATAGCAGACTCCGATACAGGGACAGCAGCTGGAACAGCCGCCAAGTTAGACAGGAAAGTGAAGGGAGATGCAGAACGCCACTCAGTTAGGTTTACAGCTGGGAGGTAGGCAAACAGGGCAGCCGTGGACGGACCCCACCACCAAAACACTGTACACAAGAAACAGAATATCAACTTAAAGCGTACTTGCAACAAACTTAGGATGTAAGGTTAAAATACGTTGCAGATACAAAGATCTTTCTAATATTTCATTAAATATAAAACGCATCAGTAGAAAAGAAAAAACATGTTTTGTATCAGAGCAGGTCTGAATTAGAGATGAGCCTTGAAAAGGCTGACCTGAATGTGCTGCTGGATTTGTAGCGTACTCCAGAGATGTGTGCTGGTTATAACATTCACAGCCTCCACACTGACAGATTTGCCTCTACATTAACTCACTAGAGTAAATGGGTTGCATCTGCAAAATAACAGGTCCCCTACAAGTTCTAACAAACTTACATAAGAGGAGTAAAAAGGGCAAAAGTAGCAACAGGAGCTTCCAGAGTCTGGGAAAGCATCTGAAACACAGAAACACAATCGGATCAGATGATGTACAACTGGCAGAAGTACAAATTGATTTTAAAAGTTTATTGGAAAGTCCTTACAGAAAAAAGGTAAATATGGTTGTTATAAAATGCTCATTTATCAACATTTGAAACCAACTGTGAATAATTCAAAAGAAATGCCTGCTACATTTGACTTTGCTTACACCAACTAAAAATATATATATGTTCTGGCCATGAATACATTTCACCTTAAATTTGTGCATTATCTGCATCTTTTGTGACTGCATTAAGTTTAAACCCATGCAATAATAATTTAACTTGACAGACAATATTAGCAGATAATAAAGAATAACATTCCTTGATTTTTGCCAACAAGATAAATCTCAAATAAATCTAGTTTATCTTCAGTGTCTTAGCTTCGCAAGCAACAAATCACTAAAATAAAGTGTTTAAAATAGTTCTAATGGAGAAGCAGGTGCACGGCAGAACATGATGATGGGCATGAAGTTGAAACTGAATGTAAAGTAAAATCAATACAACAAATGTCTGTAAACAAAACCACCTTTACTCAGTCATATCTGATTATTCTTTTTATAAACTAATAAATTATAAATGCTAATTTTAAATAGTTCAATCTTAAATTGATCCTAAATGTGTTGCAGAGTTAAGGATAAAAAAACAGCAACAAAGAGTCTTACTGAGTCAGGAAGAAGACATTGAGGAGAGACATGAGGGATACGAGCTGGTACCATCCTCTAGCCAGAAACCACAGCAGTCCTTTGCCAGCTTTAACTGGACAAACAGGAAAAAACACACACAAAAAAAACAACAACACAAAAATAAACAAACAAAAAAAAAACCACACACAAAAACAGATTCAGGAAAATGGTATGCATTGACTGCAACATATTAAACACTAACCTGGAGATGCCAGGAGCATCCAGAGGAATAAACCAACCCTCTGTGCTGCAGCTCCAACTCCTGAACCCAACGCTTTACCTGCGCTCATGGCGCAGTGAGCCGGGAGCAAGAGGCACGAACCTGGAGACAAAATCAAAGAAAGTAAAACTAGAGACACAACCACAGCTAAAAATGACTTTCAATGATATGTAGCAATATCACACACTGAAAATATATGAATAAAGATGTAATCAGCATTAAAACTGTTAACCTGCAAGAACTAAGATGCTCCACAGCGCCCCCACCAGGCGCTTTGACCTGGAGGACTGCATGTGGACGACCGCGTGCACGTCAGAAACCTGCTTCCCTTTACAGTCATCACCTGTGCGCCAAAATAAAGCAACAGCAAGCAGAAGAAAAAAGGCTGAACAAATGTAATCATTTACATTAAAACAAACAACACATTAGTGTTAGTTTTACAAATTATCAGCAGATGAAACAATAACAAAATAATTACATGTATCAAAAAGTTCACACGATGTAAAGCATTATGGGAAATAAAATCACTGCTTCTCCGTCTTATTTTCAACATTTTGCCTCTTTACTTCACTAGTGTTTGAAATGTTTCACCGTTTCAACTTTACAGAGAAAATGTTTCACTAAATCAACAATAAAGGTGATTATTGTCAGATCCAAACTGATATTTTAATTTAAAAATATTTAGGCTATTTCAGTAATGTTTGCTTTATTTAACGGTTCATTTAAAAAAATCTTGTTTGAAGCAGCTCAACCCAATTCTGTCATGCACCCCTTTTTGTTTTAGTATTTGCAAAACAAAAACATATTTTAAAATAATATCTGGTAAGACTGATTCTTATGTGGCATAGAGCTACAGCCCTGCAGGAGGTTCTCATGCACGCTGGACTAAAAGAATCCTCTGCAGCTTCAACAGTCAACAGACTGCTGACCAGTTCACACAACCTCTGCCCACACATCTTGACTCAGGGTGTGCATATCATTGACTCTGTCAATCACATCAACACATTCATCATGAGTAACAGAAGCTTTTGGAGGGTACTTACACAAGGAACCATTGAGATTGAGATGTGATGCATCTGCTGTCACCAGATCCTTCACATTCATGCTTCCACAGAAACTCGAGTGAGCTGCAACACAAAAACAAAAGATTTGCTTAACAAAATGTGTTGGAGAATTATGATAAAGATCAAGGCAGAAGACAGATATGATAAAAGGCACGCCACTAGTCTGACAGAAGAAAACTTAGTAATGAGAATTTATGAGAATATATGTAGGAGCATAAAACAGCACCTGCAAGAAACAGGAGTTAAAAATATGTAGAGAAAATCATGCAGCAGAGTAAATAAACGCCTGCAGCTGTGAAAAGAAACACATTGAATCAGAAGTATACTGGAATAAAAATAATGCCTTGTTGAATCCAACTATCTAATTAATTCACTGCACATTTTAGAGGCTCTTTAAAAAAGCTGACTAATGATGATGTGGTAGTTCTGTTGCAGTGGTTGTTTAGGTGCACATGCGCAGTCAGGTCTTTAACAGAAGCAGGGGTAGACATGCATAAGTTTGTCAGGTTGTCCAGCAGATAAACTCTGTCAAAATCTGGTTGTCCCCAAAATTTTGGTTGTCCACAAACTTTACAGAGGTACTCACAACTTATTTTTAAGTTAAATTTTTTCTAGACCTACAGGTTATCCAAGCCTTGCCCCCCCACTACATATTTGAGAGACAGAGATTTTAAAACGTCTACTTTATTCAAAGGCATTACAGTTATAGGATATTTATAGGCTCATGCAGTAATACAATATTATTTATTTTTCATATCTGATCATTTATTAAGTTACATTTATCACAGTAGTTACCTCTCTGTAGATTCTAAATAAAAATCAAGTTTCCATCCAAACAGCCACAACACCGTGTTGTTGCTAAAACACTGTGTAAAGTTGAATTTTGCAGATATTTATGATAAACAACAAACACCTGAAACTGACTCTCACAGAAAGAACTTTGTGAGTTTTGAAGTAAAAAAGTAAACAGTGACACACATCTTTGTTAAAATCTGGGACACATAAATATTTGTCTTTTACTGTTATTGTTGTTTAATTATAAGAACTAAAGGAGCAGACGCAGCCCCTCCCTCACCGACACCCAGGCTGAGCACGCGCCGGTGGATTTAAGTCATGCAAGCAAGTTGCACAAGCCTATGACCTATGATTATGACCATGCTACCAATACGTTTAATACAAAGTTAAACTTTAGATACAAAAATCCTGGGGAGGTTGGGGTGTAGTGCGAAAGGAGGGGGTGGGGTGATGGTGTAGCAGTTCTGGCATCTCCCCCAGCTGCAGTGAACTGGTAACATGGGAACACATATATTTAATACATAGACACTGAAAAATTTATAACACGTCATCAACTTTGGTTTGAGGAGCAGGGAGTCACCCTTACAAACTTGTACAGAAAACAATGATCGGTGCTCTCACCTGCAGTCTGTCTCTGAGTTAGAAACACTGATCGGTGCTCTCACCTGCAGTCTGTCTGAGTTAGAAACACTGAT